ACATAATTTCATTTAATTCTCATAAAACCTGGCCCGGTAGGGATTATCCTTCTCATTTGTCAGCCAAGCAAACGGAAGCCCAGACTGGTTCCTGAGTCAGGTAAGTGCTGCCGCTTCCGAGCAGCAGAACCGGGACTGGATCCGGGGCCTGTCGGGCTCTGAGCTGTAGTGAGCACCGGGAACAGGGGGTGGGGGGAGGCCTTGACGGTGGGGATGCAAGGAGAAGCCCCCCGATGTACCCAATTCCATACAAGGTGGCGGGCCAAGGAGGAGACGTGAGGGGAGAGAGGGCCCAATAAACATGGCCTGAGCGTAGGGAGTTGGGTGGGAGGAGAGCTGCAAGGTGGAGGAGAACACTACCATCTCTACCTGACCGACACCAAAAGAGACTCTCCCAGGTCCCACAACCCCCGTCACCCAGGCAACACAACTTGGGGTGCTGCTGGTCAGGGAAGGAGTCCAGGTCCCAGCCCTTCAGGTGCAAAGCCCACGGTGGTCAGAACACACCCACGTACCCGTCTGCCTTAGGCGGCCTGCTGACATTCACCGTGCTGGTGAGCCAATGTGCCGGCCGAGGCCGGCACTCAGCAGACGCTCCCCCAACCCCTGGGTGAGGTGCTCGGGTGGGAAGGTGCGTGATGCCACGAAGGCCAGTCCCAGGGGTGCCCCTGCTCTGGGCAGCCAGGCAGGCGTGCTCAGGGTAGTAAAGACTGAGCTGAGGAAGACCTGGGAGCTCATGAAGGTGTATGGCACGGTGGGGGACCCTTTGCGGCAGCCCGGGCACAGGCACAGTGGACTTAGCACCAAACACTGCAGAAGCAGAGGACAGGCCCGTGGCAGGAGCAGAAATCCTGTGGCAAGGTGAGGCGGGTGCAGGGGGGTGGGTGCAGGGGGGCCAGGCCACATTAGCAGGGGCCGTTGGGTGTCGGCACTTCTCCTAAGGGCAGGGGGACGCCTGGGGTGTCTGGGTACAGAGCAGGACACAGCAAATTTCCATTGCGAAGCCACCACTGATACTCGGCGGTGTACAAACATGCCGAAAGGGCCAGAGCCAGAGGGGTGGGGGAGGTCTGGTGAGAGAGCCCTGGGGAGAAAGGAGGGCTGGGAGTAGCCAGAGACAGAGCAGGCCGGCTTCGGGCGATGATGGTGACAGGGGCAGGCCTGGGGTGAAGAGGGGACTGGAGAAGAAGAGGAAGGGTCACTAATGCAGGACTGAAATCTCTGACCTCAGCCCGCTCACTGAGACACAAACGATGGGCCGGGGGACCGCCCCCGAGCTCGGCGTGGGGCACGCTGGGTGGTGCGTGCATGGAATCGGCTGCGTCCCACCCATCTCCGCCCCCCTCTGAGCCTGACCCAAGCCTCCCACGGGAGGCGGCTACAAGCCAGGACTTCAGGAGGAATCAGGACACAGGGCCTCTGCCAGGCCGAGCCATACTGCTCCTGGGTGTTGTGTGCTTGGAGCAATGGCAGGACACGGCAGCGAGGAGAGCGGGTGCAGATTAAAGAGCCGGGACCAGGCCGCCAAAGGCCCCATTAACCTGCAGCCGGGTGTCCTCCCGAGGCTGGGTGAGTGGCCTATTAACTGATAAGGAGAAAGTGTGCAGCATCCGGCGGGGAGTTTGCCACTGGTTTGCGAGCAGGCAGAAGTCCAGGACCTCCCTGGGACGGGGACCCTCGGGGGCTCCCAGCAGCCCTGGATGATCATAGCTAGCACTGCACGGCTCTGGAGGCAGACAGACCTGGTGACACAACCAGGGTCCTTGGAGGACCGGTTAACAGGTCCCCGTGCAGAACGCCCAGCAGCAGGGGCGTTTGTGTGACAGGGAGCCGGGGCCGGGGGTTTGCAGCCACTGGCTGGCGTGCTGTTGTTTTCAGCACGTGGCTTTTCTCCCCGGTCCAAACCGTGTTTTCTGATCCCCAGGCCTTTGGATCGCTCTGCGTTGCTGCCCGTGGCTCCAGGGCCCCTCCTTGGACATCCTAACGCCTCTGGAGAGCTCATAGGAGGGAGCACACGCTGCTCGGACACATGGCCCGGGCACCACGGCCAAGGGGAAGTTCATTCCTCCGAAGGCAAGTGAGAGCCCCCAGGGTGCACAGAAGACGGTGGGTGGCTCGGGGAAAGCAGGGCTGCAGCTCGCCTGGGCGGGGCGAACAGCATGCTGGGCAGAGGGCACTGTGAGGAGGTCAAGGTCGGCGGCCCCGCCCTCCACCCAGGTTTCCAATCCGGGGGCCACGACCCAGCAGGACGGCTGGGTCAGGGAGGGTACGCGATACTGGGATGTCTGATGAATAATAAAATAAAGGAAGTGTGTGAACTTCCTAAGAGTAAAAATTAGCATAGATCTGATTCTATTTCCAAGAACCTCTTTCGCTGTCTCCTGTCCTAAAGTATTGCTCCGAGGTGTGAAACCGCAGCCAGGGCCAGCCCGCGCCCACACGCCTGGTCACACCCACGATGCGTGCAGGGCCTGTGACTGTCACACACAGTGGGGAACAGGTGGCTGAGAACACCCACACCGAGGTGTGGAAGGGCTGTCAGCCCTGTGGGGACCAGGGCCGATAACACGAATTAGGACAGCGGTGCTCCACGGTCAGAATCAAAATGGATCAGTGTGGCCATCCTTGGCCTGGCTGAACAGGATGCAGGGGTCTGCCAGAAACAGCCAGTGAGCGGGCGGCCACAGAGGAAACCACTTTGTAGCAGACGAAAGCCGGGGATCTCCCTTCAAACAGAAGAGTCGGTGCCGGAGACCAGCAGGTGCCCCGGCACCCGAGAGAGAAAGAGACACACACACAGAGCAGTCCAGCCTTCACAGGACCTGTGGGGACAGTGTGGGACGTCTAGGACTGGCCACTGCACAGCCGCAAAGCCCCCACAGAGACGGCACCATAGACACACACATACCCCGTACCCCAGAATTCTCCTCACAGGCGGAGAGGAATTCTCCTCTCCGCCACATTCCAGCACTGAGTCAGCACGCAGGCCACGCCGCGGCGCCGTCTGCAGCCAGAAACCCCAAGTCCAGAGCAGGAGGCTGTGGGCTTCTGTTAGTCTGTGTCCTGCCTGTGGACTGGCCATTGGCCGCACCTGTTTACCTCAGACTTGAGCGAATGCTAGAAGTTTTCTTAGGGTGAGGGGGGGGCTCTGCCAAGAGGGAAAAGCCCCAAAAGAGAGAATGTTCGTTAGGGGAACGCAAGGCCCCGAGGACAGCAATGCAGAATGTGAACCCAGAAACCCCTCTTGGGAGTGAGCTCAGACAGCCACCCTCCACCAGGAGTCCCAAGTGCAAGTGCAGGATCCCTACTGGGGCCAGAGGGGCCTTCTTCCCTTCTGGGCTCCATTCAGAGGAGGAGAGAAAAAGAGGAGAGGAAAGAAGACCGGACGTATCCACGCTCTCGGGCGAGGAGCGAGCGCCGAATGGCTCCTTCCCGAACAGTCACACCAGAGAGACAACAAGATACTCGAGGCCGGCGGCAGCCCCTGAGATCTTCTGGCAGGAGCCAGTCCCTCCAAATCAAGACTCTGGCAGGATTCTCCAAACCACGCAGAGGATGGTTACCATCTGTTTACGGGAAAAATGTTCACAACCCCCGGTTGTCACCAAATGGGCCACCACTTCACTGTGAGAGCTCTCAACCCGGGCTCACTCCCAGGGCAGCTGTCCCGCAGCGCCGACCGGGCCCAGCACACCTCCCGCCCCGGGGAGGGGGAGCAGGCCGGAGCTCAGGAGCCCGACCAGCAGTTCCCAACTCCCCCCCCTCCCTTTCCCAGCCTGCCGGCTTGCCTTGCAGTGACCTGTTCAGCTTCGTCAGGAGCAAAAAAGTGGGTGCGAAGAAACTCCAGCTTCTCAGAGGCCAGGCAGCCAGCACCCCGTGTTTGCTGCCTTTTAGTGCTCCTTGGGGTGTTCTGAACTTACGGGGTAGGGGGCAGCCGCCAAGCCTTCTGAGGCTCTAAGAAAAGCTGCGACCTAGTTCCATTCCAAACTCCCCACTCTGCCCCGCTGTGTGTAGCACTCAAAACATTTGCACGGGAGCTCAGGGGGCCACTGTCCCTGCGCATCTCATACACATACCCCGCTGTGGTCCCTGAGCCCCAGGGCCGGGACCCTCACCCCGGACCCCCGTTCCTGTGCAGAAGCGTGGAAGTTCACCTTTCAGGACCCCCTAACCTCCCCGGAGGCCCCGCCCTGACTCCAGCTCAGCAGTCCTGTGGCCTGTTGAACCTTTCACCAGCCCACCCTCAGTCTCCTGCCTCACATCAGCCACAAACGCAAACCCAGCTGGGAGCAGATCTTGAAATTCAAGCTTCTGAGATTCAAGGGAATGGGGACCCAGCCTCCTTTAGAGCCATTTGGTCAGACCCATCCGCAAGAACAGCAAGTGGATGCCAGTTCATCACCCCCCCACCCCCTCGGCGTAGATCCACTCCCACCCCAACGCCGGCCATGGACGGGTTGAGTGCTGTGTGTCGTGGAAGGCAGCCAGCGGACACGGCCAACGTGCTGCTCTCGGCAGCCGACCTGGGCTCTGCGTGGAGCTGCGTGCTGAGATACCACTGCGCTGGCGACTTCTCGGGGCCGGACCCCACCCTCCATCCACCCCTGCACCCGACCTTCTCATCAGAAGCCCAGGTTCGGACACAGCAAGACACACAGGTGCAGCAAGAACAGAACCACTCACTCCAGCGAGGAGCCCCTTCGTCCGTCTGTCATGAGAAGAATCTTAAGTCCTCTTCACGTGCCCTCAAATCCAACTCCCTCCCCAGATGATCCTCACCGCACCCGCCCAGCTAAGAAGTGTTTTCAGCAACACAGCATGGCCCCCAATTCGGTTCCCACAGACACCGGCCCAGGGTTCAATCCATCATCACCCACTGCAGAGGCGCGGACAAGAGGGGGCCCTCAGGGAGCCCAGGGTGGGGGTGCAAACAGCACCGCGTCATCACCAAGAGCCACGTGGCCCCCAGGGCCCCCTTGCCCGTGGAGGGCCCGCCTTACCCTTCATCCCGAACTTGGACCGTCGACCGTACTTGTTGATCATGATGAAGAGAACCACCAGCAGGACGCAGGCGAAGGCGGCGAGCCCGACGGCGATGGACACCTGCGAGGGGCCGAAAAGAGAGTCGGCGCAGGCCCTGCGTCCCTCGGGGGACCGCGCGGGCCCACGTGAGGCGGGCCCTGCAGCAGGGGCAGCGACGGCCCTCTCGGAACTCGGCCGCTGAGTGACGCCTTTAGAAGAAGTAATCGGTGAGGCCCTGGGACCACCAAGGTAACCAACTACCCGGCTGGCTCTGAGCAGGCCCAGAGCTGCAGGGCCCAGGCCCCTCTCCATGGGGCTGCCCAACAGAGGCTACAGGGGCCCGGAGAGGCTTCCTCCTCCTTTTGTTGTCCTTTTAATTAGCAAGCAAATCCTGTACAATTGCATTGGAACTCTTTACAGAATATTCTTACCCTGGAAGTTCTAGGAGACCTGGATTCCAAAAAGACCCCTCTCCTCTCCTGCCCACGAGAAACCTCAGGCTCTGACCGGTGGCAGGGTAGACGCAGGCACACGGGGCTCAGAACAGCCACCCGGGCAGATGCTCTGGGTGGCGGACTTTGCGTAAATGTGTACAGAGAACAGCCCCTCCGAATCGGGTCCTGCCAGGTTCCCAACAGAGCAGGGGTTTTCCCGAGCCCCAGGGCTTGGAGCAGACCCTCAAAGTCTACCTCCGATAAGGAACCATTCTTGTCAAACTAGGAAGGGCTCACCCCCCGCCCCTCCCGGAAGGAGCTCCCTCAACCTGGCTCTGTCTGCTGAGAATACCAGGGTTCTGAGGAAGGGCACATGGGAGAACACTAGCTGCTCAGATGAAGCCTGACCATGCCCTCCTCTTAACCAAGGAGTCACTCACCCCGAAGGTGTCTTCCTCTGGTTTGTGGGTCACAGTGATAGGCGGTGTGGGGCTCACTTCATAGACTGAAAACCAAACAGAAGAGGAGCAGGGGTTGGCTTGCTGGCCAGCAGAGGCTCCAAGCCAGCTTCCTCCCGCCGCCCCCTGAGCCTCCAGGCCCGGGAGAGCACCCCATGAAGCCAGACTCTGACTGCCTGCCCCCCACCCCGGGGACCTGCCCCTACTGGCAGCCACGTGGCCAACTGGACTCTGCTGCAGGGTCTCCCTCCGCTCCCCCATCAGGGAGGCAGATCCAGGAGGCCCGGGGCCCCCCTCCCAGCCCACGAGCATCCCCCTAACATGGATTTCCAAACACACTGGCAGCAAGCCCCTGGGCCTTGCTTCCCAGCAGGTGGGGACCCAGGTGTCACTCTGTCCTCCATCTGGAGTCACCTCCTTGGCCAGAGGCGACCCAATTCAGAGTCCCCCAGAAGAATGGCGAGTCCTCTGAGACTGAGGACAAGTAAAGAACCGCAGGTGGTGTCCACGTCGGGGCCCAACGGCACAGGGTGCCCCAAACAGGACTGTCTGCACTGGCGCCGGTCCCCTCCCATGGGGACCAGAGAAAACCCAGAGAGGTTTCCCGCAGCCCATGACTGACACACCGAATCCTTTCAGTCCCAAGTCACATGTGCACCAAGTCTCAGTGACCCTCTGAGACACACTGGCCTCTCAGGAGACCCTGTCCGTCACAGCTGTGCACCAGGTGGGGCCCGGCCACGTCTGGGGCCTCGGGGCAGGTGGGAAGCACAGCGGGGTCCGGGGCTGCAGGTTCTCTCCACAAGATCAGCCAAGATAGCCAACAAGGGTCTCTCTATGGGGCAGTGTGACCCCACATGCCCCCTTTCAACATGCTCTGGCCTTAGAAACCGCCCCCCAGGGAAACTGAGGCACGGAGCTGCTGCCCAAGAGGCATGGGCGTGGAACAGCCCGAGAAGTATCTCTACTCTCCGGTTCCCTCTCCTGGCCCTCAGCTGCCCACGGTCAGGGACAGCGGTGGACTAGGGGAGACGGCTGTCTGGGCTCAACAGTTACCGGAAGGGTCAGGACAGATCAGCTTCAAAGCAAAAAGTAGAGCAGACTTACTAGAGACGAAGTTGTCCGTGCTCTCTGCAAAAGAGACAAAGAGACAATTAACCAACATAATGCAAGACAGGAGAGGTGCACTGTGTTCCTCACAGCTAGGCCCTCGCCCACTCCCGTGACCCCGCGTGGCCCCAGCACCTGAAAACCGAACTCCTTGGCATGTCACCCTTCCCCCGCTCTCACCACCTCCTCAGGAGGGTGGTCCTCCAAATGCAGACTGAATGAGAGAAAGTTCCCAATTTCAAGAGAAGCGGCCTGGCCCACCTGGGGCCTGGGAAGCAGACTACGGGATGAGGAATTAAATCTAAGACACGATGTCTCACCGACAGTCCGCCCTCCTTTGAGTCACTAGAGTACCGGGGGTCCCGGGGGTACGTGAGACCCTGAGGAGATGCTGCAGGATGAGCCTGGACCTTCTGAGAATGCCAGCGATGACCTCAAGACAAAGTTCCTCGAACTGCTATGTACAGGTTATGCTGTAGGTCACTGGGACATGCTCGGGGCCCTTCCACAACTGACCAGACCCCAGGTGACCCCAAGTGACTTGCTGTCTGGCCTCTAGCAATGGCTCACAGAAGGGTGAAGGCTTGGCCTCACGAGACAGGGGCTGTGCTAAACTCGTCCTGTAATGTACCACCCCATCCCTCTAACCGCCCTGGGAGGCGGGTGGCATTATCCCCATTCAACGGATAAGGAGACCAGCTGACAGAGATTAAGAAACTAATGGACTCCCACTCATCTAAAAACTGGATTGGAATTCGAGTCTCAGTTCCAAGCTTCAGCGGGAAACGGAATCACTCAGAGGGTTCCCCAGTGAAAGAAATGGGGGCCCCTCGGAGAAGTACTTACTCCCTGGGCAGGGCTGAAAGAGTACAAGAGGTGCTGGAGCATTCACGGGCGCCAGAACGTGAGGCCGTGCCCACACATTAATGGGGGCGCAGAGAAAGGACGCAGTTGCCAACTCTAAGGGGTGATGAATTATACCCGCCCGAAATGTGTAGGTGGGAGCACTAACCCCCAGGACATCAGAATGTGACGGTATCTGGAAGTGGAGTCTTTAAAGGGGTGAGAGAGTTAGAAGTGAGGTTAGGAAGGCTGGTGATAATTCAATACCAGTGGTGTCCCTATAGAAAGGGGAGGTTAGGAGCCAGGCACACAGAGCAAGGACGATGTGAGGACACAGGAAGGGGACACAAGCCAAGGAGAGCAGCCTCGGGAGGAGCCAGCCCTGCTGACACCTTGACCTCAGACTTCTAACCTCCGGGTCTGTGAGAAAGTAAGTTTCTGTGGTTTTGGCCACCCGCCTCCGGCACTCTGTTCCGGTGCCCCACACGTGGGTCAGAAGCCATCGGACAAATGAAATCAATACACACGAGTCCATACCAAGGTGAGATAAATAATTGAAGAGATGAATGAGGAAGAGGAGGCAGCTCTTCCTTACAGTAGAATTCCAATGAATAAATGTAACAGAAGGAAGGAGGAGAATAGAAAAAAAAAAAAAACACCACTCAACACACGCCCCAGTAGTCATTGCTCCAAGCAAGAATCATCAATGAATGCTAAAATTAACGTGTGAAAGGGTGGTGAAAACAAGCTGTTTACAAAAGTCCCACTAACGACAAAGGGAAAACCGGTCAGCTGGCTCGGCGGGACCAAGTGATCAGGTCGGCATCACCAGGGGACTGGTGGCGAGTCAGACCCAGAGGGCGCAGCACCCTGCTGTGAAGATGTTCCCCCAAAACTCGGAAGCCACCCCAGGCAAACCCACACCGTGAGACAGCCCAGGGCACAACCAGTGAGCATTCGTCAAAAGTGTGCAGACTGTGGGAGACCAAGGAAGACTGGGGACCGTCCCAGATTTAAAGAGAACAAGGTGACAGGGCAACAGCGCAATGCAGAGTCCCAGACCGGGTGCCAGGGAAGAAAAGGGCAGCTTTGGGGTGCTGACAAAATGTAAATAAAGTCTGAGGATTCGATAATGGCTTCGCATCACTGTCAATACCTCGTGATTATGTAAGATGCTACCATTTGGGGAAGCACGGTGGAGGGTATAAGGAAGTTCTTTGTGCTATTTCGTAACTTTGGGGGGAGGTAAATGTCAAACTACTCCAAAAAAAGTTAAATATCTTTTTAAATGTTTTAAAAGAGAAACATAGATTACTGGCCCACCCACCCTACCACACACATAGTTTCTGACTCAAGGGGTCTCGGTGGGTCTGGAGAACCTGCATTTCCAATTAGCTCTCGGCTGATGTGGATATCGCTGGTCCCTTTGAGAACCACTGCACCCGCCGCACCGGGAAAGATTAGAACTCACTCACCCACCCATCCACCCATCACCCGTCCACTTAGTACGGCCACCACGAGAACCGAAGATCAATTCATTGAAAGAGCCCCAGTGTGCGGTAACAATTATAACGCAGTGGTATAATTTTAAGTAATTATAATTACAATTTATGGGCTCGATAATGATACTTATAATACATGTGGCCCAGGCCCCTGGGCGGGTGGGACGGCACACGGCCTTGGCGGTTCCGTCTGTCTGCTCTCAGAACCCTGTTCTCAACGTCAGCTCTCTGCATGTGGGGGCGGGAGGGGCCCACGTGGTAACCGCGGTGTCCCCGCGGCCTCACGGAAGGAGGGAGGAGCAGGAACCGGCCTCTAGATCCAGGGCGCGGCAGGTGTGAGGCGCACTGACGGCCTGCTCCCCTGGATAATTTACTCCCCTGGACGCTCAGCCAGTTTGTCACTCGGCATGACTGGCCTGTCTTTTCCTGGTCACTGCCTTTTCATTTTCCTCCGCTTCCTCTGGTCTCACAAAATAAGCAAGCCTTCGAGCAGGGCGGCCCTGGCAGGCCGCGGGAGGGCCTGAGGACACCACTGCAGGCGAGTCTGTCCTCCCTCCTGTGTCCCGGAGACCAAGTCCACCAAATGCCACAGCAGCCACAGGTCACAGGCATGGCTGCCTCTGAGCCCCGCAGGGGCCTTGTTAAAGCAAACGCCCCTCCCCGAGTTCCCGACTCCGCAGAGCTGGGGGTGCTCCAGAACCTGGCTTCCCCCACGGGCTGGCCTGGGGACCACCCCCAGGGAAGCGCCAGCCTGAGCAGAGGTGGCCTGGGTACAGCGGTGTCCGGAGCCAGTGAGAAGGGGCTGCTGTGTCTCCAGGGACAGAGGTCGCATCCGTGTGGCAGGGAGAGTGGGTGGAGCTGCTCCCTCCCGCAGGGAGGCGGGGCCAAGGAGAGCCTGTGCCCACCAGGCCGTCCCACTGTCCCCGGCCCTCCAGACCCCCTGTGCAAAGGGGTCCAGTACGGCCCGCCCTCCCTTCTGAGAGTCCTAGAGTTCCCACTCTCTGGGCCCTTTGGAAAAAGGGGGCTTCACCCCTTGCCCACGAGGGAGTGTAGAGTGACCACCTAACAGAACTCATTCTCTAATCACAAGAGGGAGAAAGCCCAGGTGAAGGGCCATGCCAGCCCTTGACGCCCACAAGGGCCATGCTCACACTGTGGCTGTGAGAGCACAGCATCGTGCACCCCAGGGCCGTGCTCCCACCGTGTGGTCCAGGGCTGCACCGACTCCCAAGGCGGCCCGGCGGGGCCCACCTGCAAAGTCCCCGAGACCTCTGACCTGGCACACCAGGGACGACTCCCAACGGGTGACCAGGGTCTCGGACGTCAGCAGGCCAGAGCGTCCCCTGAGCTCCATCACGCCCTGGGCTGCAGTGGCGAGGAGTAAGCTTCCCACGCAGCCTCACTTCCCCCAAGTCTTACTCTCAGAGCAGCTACTCAGACAAGAGTTTCGAGTTTGGGGGCAGGGTTTGCACTGAGATAAGCAAGGCCCGGGGCTTGCTTATGGGGGTGCTGCACGAGGGGGTGCTGCACGGTGCCAGCTTTGCGTCTCTCTCTCCTCTCTCCCTCCCCCCTCTCTCTTTGTCCCTTATCTGATCAGAACCCCCAGTTTCTGGGGACTAAAGGCCAAGAGGTCATCCAGCTTGTCCCCAGCGGGAATCGCCAGGCCATCAAAGACCTGGCCTCATCAGCAGAAACCTTCCGACTGCCAGACCCACCACGAGATGCAGCCACCACTCGCTCTGAACTCTCTGGGTGTTCTCTTCCCCTCCAACCTCAGGAAGGCACTTGAAACATTCTAGCCCAGACAGAGGCAGGCAGGGTCCCCTCTGGAACACTCAGACAAAGTTCTGCCATTGCTACAGTCGCTGCCCTGGTGCAGCTGCCATCAGCCACGTCAGAGCGAAGGGTGTCTGTCAGCTGTCACCCATCAGCTCGGCTCAGAATGACAGAGAGAGGCAAGGAACAATGCACACGGGCCTGGAAGCCCAGACCCTGACCCAGCTGCGCTACTGACCAGCACCAACGAGGAGGTCCGGCTCACTCCCCGTCCAGTGCGGAGGAGGGGAGCTGGAACAGCGCTGGAGCCCCTGGCAGTGGACAGCCACGGAGCCATCACTGTGCGCCACAGCCTGTGTGGTGTGTGCTATATGCACCTTGAGTAATTTCAAAGCCACCGGTTCCTAACGGGAGCAGTGCAACTGTGCCCATTTCAAAGAAGAGGAAACCGAGGCTCCGAAAAGCAAACTATCATGCCCGAGGCCTCCCGACAAAGAAAAGCCTGGGTCAAGAGTCCCTGCCCTTCCTGTCCAACTCTCAAGTCCCAGCTTTCTCCACGGCACACACTGTGCCCTCACCTGCACAACTGCGCACTTCCTGGGGGGGCTAGGTTTGCACTGTGACAGCTGCTGGAAGCCAGACCCTACCTAGGTGACACGAACCACTGGGGTGGCTGACCAGTGACGCAAGGTGACAGGGTCAACGTCAGTGCTGCTTGACCCCTCAAGCTGCTTGCCCCACCCCCAAGCTCCCAGACAGAACCCCAGCACCCCACAGCCGTCGCCTGCCCTCACCAGGAAAGGGCTCCTTGAGGAAGTGGCCGTTGATGGTCTGGCTGGCAGTGCCCAGCGGGTTCTGGGCGATGAGGGTGTAGTTGCCGTTGTTGTAGTGGGTGGGCTTGTTGAACAGCAGGCAGCCCTCGGAGACCTCGCCCTCCTGGTAGTGCTCCACGCGGATGATCCTGGACTCCCGCAGGGGCTGCCCATTGTGCAGCCAGCGCAGCGTAGGCGGCGGGTTGCCGCGCACCACGAACTCGATGCAGTGCTCCAGGCGCGGCTCGGGCTCCTCCAGGCTCACCACGCGTGGGGGGTCTGCGGGGAGAGGCCAGCTGGCGCCCAGCACGCAGAGGCTCCGGTGTCCTGGGGCGGCCTTCCCGCAACCAGCATGGGAATCCCAATTCTAACCCCCAACCCAGCTCCAAACAAACTGAGAAAATCAGAGGTCCCCCACCACCACCCCCCAGCAGAGGGTGAGACATCTGTCTTCGCCCAAGCTCCCCGATCCGCCACAGCTACAGGGCCCCTCTCATGACCCTTCAGGGCCTTAATGACAGGCGGCCTGAGTCAAACTAGAAGTGTCCTGCAGGCCTGGCGGAGTCTGAGGCTCAGCACGCTCTGAGGGACAGGAAGGCACGCGACTGGTCCGGGACTGCTAAGGGCAGGACCCATTGGCTCTGCTGAGAAGAGTGTTTCCGCCCCTCCTGGCAGCCCCGCCCCCTGCTCTGGCTCAGCCCCGCCCCCGGCACGGCGCCCCGCCCTCCCCGCCGTCACCCCCCAGCACAGCGCCCACTCACAGTGCACAGTGAGGGCGACGCTGGCGTTGCTCATGCCCACCACGTTCTCTGCAATGCACGTCAGGGTGAAGCCGTTGTCCTCGCTCGTCACGTTGACGAGCGTCAGGTTGATGGCGTGCACGTTGGTCCAGTTCAGATTGGTCTGAAACCCCGACAGAGACACAGCCGTCCAACCGCTGCTACAGGGCGGGCCCCCCCCACGCCCAGCCCCCAAACAGCTTCAGGAATCCACAGGAAAAGCTGAGAGGAGGGTGAAAGTGGCCCGTCCGGTGAATGTGCGCTAAGGGCCAGGCCCTCTCGGGCCAAGGTCTCAGTCATCCTCACATGCACCCAGAGAGGGGAAGGGCAGCGCTGCACCCATTGTACTGATGAGGAAACCAAGGTGCTTGGAAACTTCACGGCATGTTTAACACCGAGTTGCATAGGAGACACTGGCTGGGTGGGACGCCAGTCTACGTGCTTCCCCACTTCCCCCCTCCTCTCCCTTCGCTTGCTTCCATTCATGACTTGGCTCATTAACACGAAGAGGTGGTGGGTCCCCAACCTCCGACGGGCTGGAACCCAGGACACCTACCTGGTGGGTGTTGATGGACTGCAGGCCAGTGACTATCCAGTCCACGTCAGGCAGGGGTGACCCAGAGCCATTGCAAGTGACCACGGCATTGTCCCCCTCGCGCACGGTCAGGTTGACGTGACTCACACTGATCTCAGGAAGGTCTGGGAGGGAGGAGAGGCAGGGGGAGAGACAGGCAAACACTGTCCACCAAGGCTCCGCCCACGGGTGGGTGTGGCACTTCCAGTTTCGCGACTGAGTTGTCAGCAGGCGCCCAGGTCCCTGAAGCGTCACACCCCCTCCCCAGGAGAGCACAGGACTCAGAATTTAGGCCCCTGGAGTGGATTCTCCTCCAGGGCATGGACTTGGAGGAGGGGGGACACAGCTGCTCAGGAATGCAGCTCTAGCAAGGTATCAAAACACAGCTTCCACTTCGGGGAGCTGGTTCTCAAAAATTTGCTCTGCTCTGGCCTGCACAGGGGGTCTGCTAGAAATTCCAATTTCTGGGACCCTACCCAGACATCCTGATGTTGTCTGTGTAGGGCCCAGGAACCTGCATTTCTAAAAGACCTTGAGACCCCCCCAACACAGGAGGTCCAAGAGGCTGCGTGCGAGACACACCCCCGGGGACCGGTGACAGGCAGCACCCACAGAGGAAGCACCGGGCCTGCCGAGGAGGCACAGGCGTGACCCAGGAGGAAAGAGGTGAGCCAGGTCTGCGCCCAGGGCAGAGCCAAGGCAGGGAGGGTGGTGGGCAACAGAGCACCCCGCCTTCCGGGCGGCGCCGGCTCTGGAGTCAGGGCAGGGGTGTGGCTCACTCACCGCACTGGCTGATGTTCATGCGGAAGAGGGGCAGCTGGGAGCCCTCGGCGCTGATGCAGTAGAGGCTCTGGCTGTTCAGCTTGGCCTCCCCCTGCTCTTGCCACAGCTGCATCCAGCGGATGTCACAGCTGCAGTTGAAGAAGTTCTGCTCCAGTCTCCTGCGGGCAAGAAGGCAGGGAAGGGAACTCCTGAACCGCAGGTGGCCCGCTCCCTCCCAGGGCCCTGAGGGCTCCCCCTGCTCTTCAGGGGTTAGGGAGAAAAGGGGTGCGGCGTGGCTGCAAAAGAAACAAAAAATACTTAAAATGTCCATGGATTTATTTAGTCTTTAAACTAATAAACTCATTTGAGGAAAAGAAGTCCACTCCGCTGAATTCATTTAGATATGCCAGCTTGGGACACTCCCCTGCTCAAACCTCTCCGGGTCAAAGGCCTGTGGCGTCCACACCACTGTCCATCCCTCTGAACTCGTCTCCCACCTCACCCCTCTCCTCTCCGTCAGCCACACCCAAGATGCACGCGCACCCAACACTATGCTGAACTCCGCAGGCTCATCCCCCAGCTAACATCGACCACAGGAGGAGGCATGGGGGAGGGGAGGGAGGGCAGGGCGCCCCGGCTGCCCAGGGTGCTGGGGAGGCCTGAGGCCATGCAGCAGCGATTTGAGTTTGCGCTGTAGGAACTGTGTGGGGACCCGGCAACCCTGAGGGGGTGACACTGAGGGTCCAGGCACCGGCAATACATGCAAAGTGATGCTGCTCAGTGGGGTCTGTCCCAGCTGCTTACTTGACAAGATGAGGCCATTCACTATTAATTACTCGTAAAAATACAGACTGTCCACCTGCGGGGAGCACTCTAGACCAGTGAGGGTGCCTCGGTCAGGCCTGCCTCTGCGCTGAGCCAGCCTGCAGTGCACCCAGCCTCTCAGGGCCCCTGGGGAGGCGGGCAGTGCCAGCGTGTGCTGAGGCTGGTGGGGACCAAGTTGAGGCGTCTGGGACCTGGCTAAGACACACCAACAAGGGCACACCAACAGCATTTTTGTTCCTTCCCATCCTTTTCCTCTGGGACCCGATCCAACAGAAGGGACATGCCATGAGACCTGGTCCTCTCCTCCCATCCAGAGTCTTCTGGAAACCCCGAGTTATGCCCCTCACCCTCTGGACGCTCCTCCTAGACACCAAGGCACACAGGCCACAGAAAGCACTTTGACTGAGTCTCAGCACGGTGGTCCCTCCACGGAGCACACCCACCACCATCCTCCTGTCCTGACGGGGGCTGGGGGGGCTCCAACAGAGAGACAGACCGGCAGGTGCAAAGAAGGCCAGCCCACTGCACCGCAGCTGAAGGGAACCTGAAGTTGAGCTTCCATTGACAATGCTGGTGGCCCGTGAATAATGGAACAGCAACAAGGCAAAGCTTACCACACCAGCCTTTGCCCAGGATGGCCCGGGGCCTAATTGCAAGACCCGGGGGGTTCCAGCAGATTAGCTCGGCCCCATGGGACATGTGCACCAGACCCTCTGCTGGGGAGATGTGGGGCGATGGCCAAGACTGGGTGTTTAGAAAGCAGTGATTCTCAGCCAGGCGTCACCTGGGCTTTCTTCTCCCACCTCAGCATGGCCGCTGCCAGGGCCAGTCCTGGGGCTGTGGGAAGTGCCGAAGGGACCCAGACCTGCCATCACAGTCCTGGCAGCACAGGCCCAAGGGGCCCAGTGCTGGGCCGAGGCCTCCTGGGGACCGCAGTCCAATGGTAGAAAAGGCCTGCACTGAGCCGGCTGGGGTGCCCTGGGCCCGTGCAGCAGGTGGAGTAGTGTCCCCCTCAAAACATGTCCCAAGTCCTCATCCCAGTGCCTGTGAGTGTGAGAAACCTCAGTTGGAGGCAGAATCTTCACAGATGTCACCATACAAAGGATCCAGGATGAGGTCGCTCTGGGTTAGGGGTGGACCCTGAACCCAATGACTGGTGTCTTGATGGGAGATGCAGCAGGGAGAGGTCAAGGACTAAGAGATGGGAGACACGGCCATGTGAAGGCCGAGGCCAGGGTTCCACAGGCCGAGGGACCCTGGAGCCCTTGGGCTGGAAAGGGCTGCAAGCGATGACCCTCCCCTGAGCCCTGCGGACACCTGATGTTGGACTTCCAGCCACCAGAGCAGTGTGAGTATCCATCCCGGTGGATTTCAGCCACCAGATTTGTGGTAATGGGTTATGGCAGCCCTAGGGAACCAGGATAGCAAGGAACTGAATTCTCCAGGGCTCTGTTTTCACTTCTGTAAAATGGGGATAATTGTGCCCGACATTCCTTCTTCAAAAGGTTATTATGGGGATTAGTGATACATGTTAATGTGCTCTGTGAATTAAAAGGGGGCTATAAGGCAGCCAGAGATGATTACTATAATTACACAATTATCGACACGGCTGTTGAGTGACTTCTCGGAGGCCCGTGGGAGTGGTCACAGGCCAGGCTCAGCTCGAACCCATTCCCGACACTGAGGCGGTATTTACCAAGCCGATTAAATCTGCAAATTACACCACCAGTAATGATCACTCTGCTCTAAGGAAATGAAATACTCCGATCTATTGTAATCACATCTGCTCTGTGTGTGCAGGGCATTAAGAGAAGCCTGTTGGAGACACACTAACAGTCCTCAGGGCACCTCGGGGGGGTTTCTGAGCTGCGAGTTTCTATCCTCTGCTGCCTCCGGCCCCTGCCTCGATTACACCGTGGGCTACAGAACCCAGGCCTCTTCTCTCTGAGGCCTCATCCCTGCGACAGCCTCTGACTCTGGCTCTGATCTCTGGACAGGCAGCTCCGGCCTCTCCGTAAGGGAAAACACCGTCCCGCCCTGACCGGAAACTTCTGGGGGTGCTGGGCCTTGAAAGCAGTGGCAGGAACACAACCAGGACCAGGTGCTTGGCGGAGAGCACAGCCTTCATCGCACGCACGTCAATGAGAAAGGAGAGAAGGAGGCCCCTGGCACAGGGCAAGTGCTCTGGCACACGGGCATGTTTGGGTTTTCTCCCTCTCGATTCCACTCCGGGGATCCTGCACCATGAGCGTGGCTTCTGGAAGGTGACGTGAGTCTCGTGGGGTATGTGGCTGAGTTGTACAAGGACAGACCAGTGGTCTGTGGAGACATCAGGCCTGGATGGTGGCGACAGTCCCAACACTGGTGCCCAGAGGTCCCATTTACTAGCTGCGTGATGGTAGACCAGTTGTCTATTGTGGCCGAGGCTGCAAGCTCTCCTTGGTAAAACTGGTTACAAGGATACCTCCTCATGGGATTGTTCCAAGGATGAGACAGCACCTTGTACACATTAGGTGCTCAATATATGCCTCTTCTTTCTCTTTCTCTACTACTGGAAAAGTTGTAGACAGGCAACACTCATGACGGGCCATCCCCACATCAGTTGTTCTATCAAGGACCTTCTACTGGGGAGGGGCCGGTTGGCGAGGGCGCAGGTCCTAGGAAAGGGCCAAAGGTCACAGTCTGCCCCTCTGTTCCTGCAGGAGGCCGCTCGAACCTCAGCCTCCTCCTCTGGCTGTCACGGCACACCCCGTCTCCCTCTGGCTTCCCCTCTGGGGCCGAAGTCCTTTCTTCCTGGAAATACCCGACCGGTTCCCACACCCTAGCCCGCAGGCTCCGCCAGGCAGACCCTGGCAGTCTGGATGGCTCATGGCAGATGGCGCCATGTGGACTAATCAGGAAGCCGGACAAGAAAACACTGCCCCCTCTTCCGTTTGCCAGGAACTGAGATTGTTTGGATTTTAATCATGGCCACAGCGAAGAGCCAGCACACGGCCGCTCCAGCCAAACGACAAATTTTCCACTCGCACCATTCAATTCTCCCTTAAAGTACAGACCCCTCCCAGGGCGACTGCCCCTTAGAGGGGGCTTCTTTATCTTCCAGCGTCACATTCTTCTTCTTTAGCCACGCGACAGAAATTAAATGCTCCGTGGACGCGTCGGCTCACACACCGACTCACTCTGGAGGGCACGTCTTCATTCCCCCGTAAGTCACGTCCGGCTCACTGGTATATCGATTGCCAGGCGAAGATTAATGCAGAATCCCAGGATCCTCTGAGGAACGCGGCATCTTCTTTCAATACGTGTCCTGGGAACATCTTTTTCTAAAACTCCATGCAACGGGCCACCAGGGCAGCACCCCACTGACCTCACCCGCAGTGGCTCTTCGTAGGGAACACTGAATGCTTTCTCGGTAACTGAGCCACCTGCAGCCCCCGGGCGTCCCCCGGAGAGACACCATTCCCTGCAGGTGCTCCAGGAGAGCTGGATGCCCAGGGTCCCCCCAAAAGAAAGTCCCCAGTTAGCTCCCTTGTGTCGGGGTCCCCGATCAGTCCTAGGGCAACGCAGGGAAAAACTGCAATCATTCACGTTTTGAAAGTTACTGCACAGTAGACCCCTGGACTGAAAACAGACTGGAATTGTCGGGAAATAGCTGAGCACAGTGGTCAAGGCCTCGAGCCCGCATGCTAACGGCTGATTAGTGCAGTGGGTGGTCTTAACTAAGAGGCTTAACCTTGCTAAGCATCTCCGTGTCCCTGAATATGAAATGACAGTAGTAATTCCTACCCATAGAATTGCCATAAGGACTAAGGCAAGCAACATATATAACTCTACAGACTGTTTGGCATAGTGCCTGGCACAGAGGAAGGTCTCAGAAATAGTGCCAACCTGATCCCAGTCTGGCCGATTCACCCCTAAGGTCTTTTCTACCTACAAAGACGGGAATGAGCACAACCCGTCCAGGGTACCTGTTCCACAGTTAGATGCCTGCGACATTGTCTAGCTTTTCAGTGTTTTTTAAGATTTTATTTATTTATCTTTAGAGGGGAAGGGAAGGAGAGAGGAAGAGAAACATCAATGTATGGTTGCCTCTTGTGCGTCCCCTGCTGGGAACTGGCCTGCAACCCAGGCATGTGACTGGGAATCCAACCGTGATCCTTTGGTTCATGGGCTTGTGCTCAATCCACTGAGCTACACCAGCCAGGGCAACGTTTTTTAAAGAAACACATCTGTATTCCCCTTTCACAAGCTTGGGGAAGGGTTTTTATTGGTGTGCCTCTGGATCGCAGCTGGGCGTGGCTAAGCAGCTCTGATTGCTTGCCTGCCGGCTGGCCGTGCCACACCAGAGTGGGGCCTGGTGAGAGGGCAGAACGCGGAAGGGGAAGCGCCCACAGCAGAGCGGTCCTGAACTCCCCACACTGTCCACGCGATGCTCCCTGCATTTCCCATCCACGGGTTGGTCTCTGTGAGCGTCACAGGGCACACATGTCCGCAAGGCTGAGCAGGGTCCACAGGGCCATCACGGTGCGATTACTGGTTGTGGGTATCACCCTTCCTGACCGCTGGGTCAGAAAAGAACCCACTCCCAAACCCAGGTCTCACCAGGTGGGGGGACACCTGCGAAAAGGCCAACAGTGTGGGCAGGTGAAGGCCGCTGCCCCAGGTAAAGACAGTAAGGCAACCTGCAAGCGGCGAACCTGGATCTGTGTCTCCAAGCAAAAGGGCGCACGGGAGCAGCGTCCCCGGAACCCCGACTGCCACGTCCGTCCACGCCCCAGCTCCTTTTCAGTTCATTCCCTGACTTAGTCCCTCCACATGACAAGCTGTCCCTCATGCCCAGAGGTGACCCCGCTGACTCACACACCAACATGAGTCATTTTTTCCGCCAGCGCTCACACATTTTCACTCATTCACCCAACATGTGTTTGGCTGGGGGCAGGAGCGGATGGATCAACATAGAAACCCAGCACAATTAAGCAGGCCACAGGCGGATCGACTAAGTGCATGGCCTGCGCCCCTCCAGATGCCCGGGGCTCAGGCCGGGCAGGCTGACGGAGGTCATGAGAGGAGGGGAAGACGTGCAGGCTTGGGCATGCGGTCGGAGGCCTGGGTCCGAGAGCGGGCTCTGCGGCCTTGTCTGCATCTCGGGAGATTTCTGGGGCTCGGAGCCTCACCTGCAGGTGCAGGGACGCCTCTGACAAGAGCAGCACAGTGACACCCACCTCCTGTGACGCTGTGCTGGTGAATCTACCCTCACACAAATGCAAGCACACCTGGTCATCCACGAGGTCAGCCAGGGCGAATGCTATTTATCAGGAGTCGGCAAATGCCCTCCGCTCTCACAAAGATCGACGGCACTAGTGCTAATGACCTATATCGAGGTGACACAGCTTGGCCCTGCTCCTAGGTGACAGTCCTGTCCTCTGAGCTGCACTGTGCCCGGAAAGGGGGTCGGAAATCCAGCAACGGGGCGGCTCGCTCTTGCTGAACATGGTACACCCCGTGTCACCCAGCCCAAGCAGCCCCTTCAGGGGACGCCCAGCCGCAGGGGCCCTGTGGCACGACACTTTCCCCGCTGCAACCTCCGCCACCCCACCCGCACACTAACTTGGACGGTCCCCGAAAGCGCACTTACAATTCCCGAAGACTCAGCGTCTGGAAGAGCTGCCACGAGAGTGTGGTGAGCCGGTTACTCGACAGGTTTCTGCAGGAGTGACAAGAAAAAGAGGGGGATTAAAGGGCAAATCTGGCACAGACCGTGCTCTCAGGAGCAGGCGGGGGCACTTCCTGGGGCCTGGCTTCACTGCCCTCCTTCTCCTTTGCTCCATTCCGCGGCCCGTCCATCTGCCGCTGGTCAAGGAGAGGATCCTGCAGCTTCCCGAAGGGACAGGTTTTAAAAATAAAAAAACATACATCCACTCCCCACCCCCAAAGTTCAGGGAGCCTTCTGGAAGCCGCCTTCCCGAGGGGGCACAGACAGCTCAGGAGGCACGAGCCGGCACACGGCTGCGTTATCACCCCCACGGCGGTGCGGTCGGCCTCCAAACCCCGTGCGTGGTTAGCGCGGGCATCTTGATGAGCCCGGAGACGTGTGTGCGTCCACGAGACCAGCCCCGGAAACAACGCCGTGGGCGGAGCCACCACCTCTGACCGAGGCTCCTCCCCACTCTCTGGTTATAGGACACGAACGTGTATCGACATCAGCTGTCCCTCTTAACCAACTGTGTATAATATAGTTCTCATGACTGTACACTGTGCTGTACCGTACAAATCACTGGGACCTGCTCCTCTTCCGTTGCTGAAACTACACGCCCTGTCACCCACAAGTCCTCTTTTTTTAAATTCTTTCATGGATTGATGTTAGAGAGAGAGAGAGAGGAAGGGAAAGAAAGAGGGGGAGGGACATCTATTTGTTGTTCCACTTACTTGTGCATTCACCGGTGGATTCTTGTATGTGCCCTGACCAGGGATCGAACCTGCAACCATGGTGTATCACGATGATGCTCTAATCAACCTAGCTGCCCAGCAAGGGCTTTAGCAACAAGCATTCCTAACATTCGCACAAGTCAGAAAAAACTCTGTACCAGCCGCACCTACCTTCCCTTCCCCCGGCAGAGATGCCCGTCAGTGATTAAGACGTCAGCCTTTCGTTCACACTTCTTTTCTCCCCCTAATGGCCACTTAATTGTTCTCATTAGGATGTACAGGGGAAAGGAGGAGCCATTAGTCTTCCAAACAAACGAAGAAACACGCCCACAGTTATTATTTCCGCCAGGCTCCACAAGGAACTTGATGTGCTCACAGCTTTCAAAGGCACTGCTGGGACTGAAGTGACCCCCCAGGAACGGTGCTCCCAACTTGGGGTGACAGAGAGGGTGGCAGTCAGAACCCAACCTAGGCGGACATGTGTGTGCACGCACACACGCACACACAGGGAGGGGTCTGTGTCTGTGGGACATGCCGGCCGTGAGGCAAGCAGAGACCTTGGCCTGCACTCACACCCTGATGCTCCTATGCATACAGGTGCGTCCGCAGTGAAACGGCTTCTACAACGACTCTTTGTGATGAGACAAATACAGGCTTCAAGGAGGGGCAAGGGGGGTGGACCACTGGTAAGGCCCCTCTGGAACTTAATGTTCAAGCTGCAAGTGAAAACCCAAGAGAACAGCAGCTGTGAGGAGCAGAGAAGAGCGTAGGCAGAGGGATGCAGGTAGCTGACGCTGGAGGGGAGGCCAGCTGCCTGAGCCAGGGGCCTGGAGCAGAGCCCTGTGAGTGGTCACCTGGCAGCAGGACGAGATGAGCCACACTGGGGTGGGGGGGGTGCTCTAGGAAGCAGGAGTAGCACGTGCAAAGGCCTGAGAGGGACGGGGTGCGGGGGTGGGGGCAGAAAGGCGGCCAGGGGGCGTGGTCTGGAAAGGGGGAGAAGGGGATGTGCCACGCCCACCTAGCTGACCACGGTAGGGGTTTGGGGTTCTTGATTTTAAGGAGCAACGGGAAGGTGAAGGATGGTCCCCTGGAGGGAAGGGCATAACCTGACTGCCATTCCCAAGGGCTGAAGGACGGTGCTAGATGGTGGCAGACCATGCAGGAGGCTGCCGGGACACTCAGGGCAAGGGGAGGGGGTCGAGGTAATTAAGAGGACAGATTCAGGTGCTGGAGGTAGAGCCCAGGGGCTTCCTACTGGACGGGGTCTGGCAGAGGGAGGAGAGAGACCAGAGCGGCCAGGCAAGTGGCCATGTCACTTAGTGAGATGAGGATGCTGCCATAGGTCCCCTATGTGGGGGGAGGTGGCGAGGGGGAAATCAAGAGCCTCCCACTGGAGAACATTGTGTGTGGTGCCTGCTGGGTATGTCTGTGGTAAGACGCAGGGGGAGACGTGGAGCTGGGGTGAGATCGCAGAGTATCACAGGGCGTTGCAGGAACAGACTGCCGAAGCCAAGAACAGCCTGAGGGACAGGCTCCCCCTTCTCGCCTGAGGCAGCCCCATCTTTGGCAACAGCCCACAAACTGTGCAGAGAGGTGGCCCCCACTGTAAGGATGCAGGGGACAGCTTGAGAAGGGGAGGGACAGCGGACAGGCGCCCCTGAGGTTTACTGCTCTGACCTCTGCCCTGCAGCCCGCACACCCTTCTCACAGAATCCCTAAGGCCACACAGCTCTCTCTCCAGGGAAGTCCCCGTACTCCACAAACCCCCACACACTCCTGGTGTGAGTGACAGCACCCAAGCCTTAACCCACCTGCAGACTCAGCTTCACAAAGCCCCAGCGATGGCCCGTCTCACTCCTGCCAAGAGCCTCATACCCCACTGACAGGAGGGAGGGGTGACCCCTGGGGGCCCCACTGGGGACCAGCTCGAACAGGGCCCCTCCTACTTGGGCAAGCAGAGCAAGGGAGTGGGGGAGCAGAGGCGTAGCCCCACTGAGTCAGGAGCCACATACCCCAGCTCGGGCCTTGGGGTGAAGGGAGTCTCCATCACTGTGAGACTCATCATCTCTGGCCCTGGTGGTATACCAGTCAATGGGGGGGACGCAGCCAGTAGAAGGGTTTGGCTTTGTTTTGCTGTTCCTGGTTTCCTGTCCCCCGCAACAGCGACGGCAGCACCAACCAGACAGGGCCAGTTGCCCGGGCTGCCCTCCCCGCCCTGGCGGCCCAAACCAAAGCCCCAGTCCAGGGGCTGAGCAGCAGCGGCCAGTGAGATCAGCCCCAGGCCTGATTGCTGCGCCCTGGGAAGAAACGTGGGGGCAGGGACAGGTGGAGGTACAGGCACGAGACCACAGTGGCCCGGCTGAGGTGGGAACCCTTGCCCCTCGCCAGGGAGGACCCATCAGGGGTCCCAAGGCAGGGGCAGGCTGCCAGCAATGTCCTTTCACAAAGGTCATGTTTTGCTACATTTGGCATAAATGTCACGAGAAAATTGGATTCTGAAAGAAAGAAAATAACAGGCATTCTGGGCAAATAAAGAATGAGAAACACCATTATCTCACAAGATAGAGAAGGGCAGGGGCTGGGACGCCAGAGGTGGGCTCTGGCTCTCCCAGGGGTTTCTCAGCTTCGGAAGAGAAAGGGCGCCCTGGGTTCCCCCGCTCGTGGCTGAGATGAAGCAGCAGCAGCCCAGGCTCTGTGTGCGCATGCGCTCCTCCACCCCGCGCACCAATCCACCAATCCCTGCCGCTCCAGTGGGAAAGCAAGGCCCTCTGACTCCTCCCTCTGACCAGGCCCTCCCAGCTCCTCTCCCCGCCCTGCCCACCCGCACCACCAGGGACCCTGCAGCACCCTCCCGCATTCCTGACCTCATCTCACATTTACCGCCACCACGCCAGGTGGGTATTACCATCTCCATGCTCCAGAGGAGGAAACGGGCGCTGAGGTTGCTATTCGAAGGTGAATGGCTCGGAGTGCTTTAATACAAAGACTCGCAGCAAGCCAAAAGCCACACCCCGAGGAACACAGCATCAGACACACAGGTAAACTCCCAGGTGCACCCGCACCACCCGGTACGTGGGCCCAGAGACGGAAAGGAGGTCCTTCTATACGGACACTATAGGTGAGAGGCACGAGGGGGCAGAAGACACCAGCCGTGCAGCCGCACACTGCGCCCAGTTCCAGATGCACACATGACGCGAGCCGAGAAGCCGAGCTCGGCTTTGGCCTCCCTGTCCCCACCCGCACTCATAAACTCCGGGTGCAGAGCCAGCGGGGAGGCTGAGGCACGGGGCTCCAGCAGACTCGCCACCCACGCGGAACTCACTGTCCCTGGCTTTTCTTCCAACTGGTGCCTCACCTGTATTCCCCTGTCTCAGCTTATTGATGGGCTGCTTACTCTGCTTATCAGAACAGAGTTTAATTAAGAACCGTCCTGCCTCTGGGCCCACAGCAGCCTCCTCGGGAGCCCCCTCCCTCGCAGGTCCATTGTCTCTGTCCCTGATGTTTTGCTTGGGTCAATGCACAGTCTCCAAGCCACCTGACCACTGGAATTCATCGGGTGAGCAAGATGTTACGAGATGATGCATCAAACACTTTCCCAAAATCAAGCTCCATGACATTGCCCCCGCATCCCTCATCTGAGACGGCCAAACAAAGCCATTAATTCTGTCTTGCACCGCCGGCTCCGTCACAGCCCAGACTCCGGGCCAGAGCAACGAACGATGGCGACGCAGCTCCTGGGCACTGTGGAAACAGCCTGACATGCACACGGCCCGACTCTGACCCTGAGGCCGGAGAAGGCCAAGGTGGCCCCTCCTGCCTGGCCCCGCAATGAGCGGAGAGCAGGGATCCCCCAGGCCAAACCCGCAGCCGGGTAAGTGGCCCCACAATCCAGAAGGATGTCGCCTCTGCCCTCGGGTCCCTGCTGGCCAACAAGAGGGTCACTCAAGAGGGGCCTTGTTGCCAGCAGACGCCAACCTGATGAATTCTTCTGTTGCCCTTCAGGGCTGAGAGCTGAGAAGGGAACACTAAGCCCCGCCCACAAAGTGACCCAAAGGTGGATTCTTCCAAAACCAGAAGGTTTTGTGCATTTCCGGGCCCAATGGTGAGGCAGACATCCGGAAATGCCTCCTCGTCTCCTGGCAGAGGCAGCCCCGTGTCTCAGGACCCTTCAGATCCTAGTGCAGAGGTATCGTTGGTACTGGGTGCCCCGCTCTCCCTGTGCCATTAAACCAAACTGCCCCGCCCACCACCGCTCACGTCTGCCCCCAGGACGCTGTC